AAGCATGGTACATCCGTTAAGGTATCCCCCTCCATCAAGGTTGGACAAGGCAACTCAGCTTGGACATTGGGTTCCCAAAAGCCAACTCTCAAGCACCAGGGACAGGGTCCTGATCACACTGTTAGGAGCCCCACAAACAGACCAAGCTACACAACTGTCACACACATGTAGAGGGCCTAGACTGATCTCATGCAGGCTCCCTAGCGAACAAATTGTCTGCCTTATAAGTAACCAGTACTACAATGTATAAAGAACTTCACGAATTCAGTCCCAAAGTGGCAGCCCACTTCTGAACAAAGCAAATAGCCTGAAAAAAGACAGACATGTGTCCAGTAAGTGCATCATCCATCCTTAAAGAAACGCTAAGCACCGTAACAACATCATGCCACTACTTGCTCACTAGAATGGCTACTATCACAAAGACAGAAAACAACACGAGTTGGTAAGGAGATGAAAATTAGAATGCTTAGCTGGGTGGTGGTGATAAGTGCCTAAAACCCCAACACTTGGGAGACAGAAGCAGGTGAATCTCTGTGAGTTCAAGGCCAACCTGGTCTACAAAGTGAGTTCCAGCACAGTCAGAGCTACACAGAGAAACCCTGTCTCAAAAATCCAGAAAGAAAAAAAAAAAAAGAAGAAGAAAATTAGAACACTTACATTCTGTAGGTGGGAATGTAAATGGTGTAGCCATTTTGAAAAATGCCATTAAGATTTCTTAAAAAGGGGCTGGAGAGATGGATCAGAGGTTAAGAGCACTGACTGTTCTTTCAGAGGTCCTGAGTTCAATTCCCAGCAACCACATGGTGGCTCACAACCATCTGTAATGAAATCTGGTGCCCTCTTCTGGCCAACAAGCATACAGACAGACAGAACACTGTATACATAATAAATAAATATTTTTAAAATTATAAAATTTTAAAATAAAATTTTTAAAATTATTTTTAAAAATAAAAATAAAATAATGAAAGAATCCAAACATTATCAATTCTGAATGTGTGTGTGTGTGTGTGTTTCAAGACAGAGTTTCTTTGTGTAACAGCCCTGGCTATCCTGGAATTCACTTTGCAGACCAGGCTGGCCTTGAACTAACAAAGACCCACCTGCCTCTGCCTCCCAAATGCTGAGATTAAAGATGTGTTTCACTACCACCTGGTGATCTGAGTCTATATTCTGAAGAATTGGAAGCACAGTCTGAAAGAAATATCTGCATGTGTGATGTTTTCTGTACACAAATACTTCTTTCTATTATGTTATTCACCAAATTATACTATGTATTGATTCCATCCTTACTCAGAATAGCTGAGAGATCCAAAGAACCCAAATGTTCAAGAGAGCCAGATATGGCAGCTCACACCTTTAATTCCAACCCTTGAGAGGCAGAAGCATTCTCGAATGTGTTCCAGGCCAGCCTGGTCTACATTATCAAATTCGTAGAGAAAATATATGTCTGACAGGAGATGAGGAAGAGAGGAGGGGAATGTTAGTGTCTAATGTGGACAAAATTTCTTCTTTTGCAAGATGATAAAGTTCTTAAGACTGATGCTGTAAGTTATGAGTGACAGCCTAGCTCAAAAAAAGGAAAAAAATGTAAAGAGTATTTCAATGGTGCCAAATAAACTCTCAGGTTTATGTACCTTAATCACCCACCATGGGAGAGCTACACTTGAAGGCTCCCAGGAGTCGGCACCGCAGAGCCTGTGCAGGGGAACAATGGGGGTGGATGAGAGCAAGAGCAGGTCCAGGTCTCCTTCTCCCTAATGTAACAGCCTCCAGGACAAGTGAGCCCAGCACCTTCTCTTGCTCTACCCAATCTCTTCTTCAGGTCCAGTACTGGACTAAATTGATAGGAGACAGGATGTTGACATGTCTCGCAGCACTTTGAAATAGAATGTGTCCTCTGCTGGACAACGAGAGACTGGGGCAGTATAAAATTGGGAACAAACCAATTTTTTTTTTTTTCCTGTGGGGCTCTCCTGTCCTGTGGGTATGTCGCGCATCCAGAAAGAATGCTCGGTAGGTGGCGCTCGTTCTCCACTGTGCAGGTAGTTTAGCGCTGGTTTCTTTTTCACACGTGAGAAAGCTCAGCTCCAAGGGAAAGTGTTTTCCGTGGGGTCAATTCTTTGCAACTCAGACTTGAGAACACTATTTTATCTCTGAACCCAATGGGTTTCTACTGCCTTGCCGTCCCCCTCCTATGCGTAACCACACATAATTCATCATTATTATTTTTTTTAATGTTCTCTCTTCTTTACTAGGTTTACTTTCAACTAGATCGAAGGCCTGAATGAGCTCGCTGCATTGTCAAACGTCCAGAACAGAAAACAGCATTAGGCTTGCGTGCTTTCTTTGATTTCTCCAGGCTCAGAGAAGCTATTTTATAATGAATAATTAGAAAAAAAAAGTAAACGTTTAACGAGGAAAACCATGAAGGCTAACGAGAACAACCAGCTAGGTTGGGAAATTCAGCTTGATTGGCATTACAGACAGTTTTGAACCCTGGTTTAGCCACCCACTGACCACCTTGAGTCGGCTTCCCCAATGTAAAGCAGGAATGATTTCCCACTCATCGCCCCCCCCCCCCGCCAAACACACACGCCGCCGTCCCCGGGAGTGTGTACTTTGCATAAAGCAGTAATTTCCGACTTCTTAGAGTGCCGGCGGTGCCTTGACCTGAATTCTCTCCGCCGTCTGATAAACCAGAACGATTTGAGTGAAAGCCCTGCTGGGGGCCCGGCTGACTTGGGCACTGGGGAACCCCCCCGCTTCTGCTGGTTTGACCCCTGGTGTGCTGAGGGTGCTTGTAGAGCATACGGGGCTCCGGAAGATGAGGAGAGCCAATCCGCAGAGCGATCCTAAGGCTCCGGTGAGCCAGAAAACGCAGTGTATTTCTTCTCCTTTGCTCCCGCAGCTTTACAGTCGGCTGAGAGAGCCCCACTCTAAGCCTGCTTTTAAAGGAATGGAAACTGACTTCATCCAGGTTACAGCGCCGAGTGTGTCCTGTGGGCCTATAGGAGGTCTGCGCCCTGCACCCTTGCACTGGGGGCGGGGTGGGGGAGGGGAGGCGGGCGTGGCAACCTCTGCTCCCCGGGTCAAGAGAGGCACGGGTGACCCCACACCCAAGCGTCGTCGCAGCGTGACCTCTGTAGATGATTCCCCCGCCGACTAGCGCTCCCCAGAAGTGCACGAGTGTTTACAGAAGCTGAGGATTCTCCCGTGCCAGTCCCCGTGGCGTTCCCATTCTCAATGCAGCGCCCCTGCGGCCCAAGCAGTCTCGGGGACTGAGGGCGCCGCACGTAGGGGGCGCGCGGGAATCAGACTGCTGAAGAAATGCTGGACCCGCGCGGTCTCCTGGAGAGGAGGCCGCTGGAGTTGGAACGGACGGAGTGGGAAGAGAAGGGGTAGACGTTTCTGAAAGTGTGGGACCTGGGGTAAAGGAGGGAGAGCGGCCCCGGAGACAGGCTCAGGGTGCGAACAGATCTAATCGCAAATCACGATTCCCAGCTCCTCCGACTCCTGGCCAGCCCAGGCCGGAGATGGAGTCAGCGACAGGCCAGGAGCCACAAGGCGACCACAGGTTTCTGAAGCTAGCTGCCAGGCCTGGGAGGCAATCACCCTCCTTGTCCTCGACGGAGGACCTGGGTGTGCCTGCGTTAGCGTGAAGCACCCGCAGACCTCCTCTTCTTGTTCCCGCTGACCTCTAGAGCTGGTCCTAACTCAGGATAAACTCAAGGTACTTCAGTGCGTCCTGGAGATCTCAGCGCGTAGCCCCCAACGCCTTTTCATTCCATCCCAAATTTTTAAATCTTGTTCTTTTTAGGAGCTTCCTCGGTTTGTAGCTCAAAAACCCTGTGTTTATTTTCTTCCAAACACCCTCCTCCTTGTCCTGCCTGCAGCCATCACTCACTAAACCTAAAAATCTACTAACCTCTGCCAGTACCGTTTGCTCTGCCCCTCTAGGAGAAGCGGGTTGAAACCACTTTGTTATTCTCATGCAAACACAATCAGCGCTGACAGCTTCTAAAATCACTAAACCGTGGCTTTCCCTGCGTGCTTCGAAACCGTCTGCCACCTCTGTGGTTTGAGGTTGAGGTTCTCTCTCTCTCTCTCTCTCTCTCTCTCTCTCTCTCTCTCTCTCTCTCTCTTTATTTCTGCAACTAAATGGTGATCATTACTTCAAATAGGTAAATATATGGCCCTCGAACTTAACTCTAGCACTCAGTCGTCCAACCTTCAGATATCCTTGCCCATCAATAGGTCCGGAACTCACTGCCTCCACCGATTCCTATGACCACAGACAAGTGCACACACATTATCTATCCTCCTGCCTAATCTCATTTTTCTGGCAATCTATGTCCCAGGTCCCTAAAGAAAATTAGCTATGTACATCCTCAACACCCCAGGATGGGGTGGAGAGAAGAGAAAATCAATTTTAGTAAAGCATGAAACATTGAAGGAAGGGTGGGGGGCTTCATTTTGAAACCTCATAAGCATTTTGTTGGGTCCCCTTCCTGGCAGGGAAGATCATCCCTTGGCTGTTACACTTGCCAGATACTAACAACAAATTTAAATCTTTGCCTCAAAACTTGCACAACTCTGAAGAACTATACAGAGCCTAAACTCTGCAAGGGAGCCTCACTCCCCAACCCCAATGTACCCTGCAGCGTCTTTACAGGGCAGGAAAATAGGCAACCCCATCATTGATGTCTCCAAGCTCTGGCTATCCTCCCCAGGCCGACAACGTTGAATAACTATAACGATTTCTTGTCTGCAGTGGAGAATCAGCCAGAGGAAACGCTCCGGGAGGCGGTCCTGATTTTAATGACACCAATGGAGCAATCTTCACAGCTTATTAAATTAACATCACAATTATTTGAACATATTCAGTGGTTCAAGTTTGTGTACTGGATGTTGTTAAACCTCTGGTTAAGTTTCTGCAACAGGGAACTAGGTCACTCGAACAAACTTTATTAAAAAGAAGTTATATAAATAGGCAACATGCATTGGACATAACCACAATGTTTCTATTTTGTATTTACTTTCTTCTAGTGAGTAAAACGATGTGATTCTTATTTTTAAGGTCATTAAATATTATCATTCTGGATGTTACTGCTGTGTAGTTCCCGGATAGCCTCTTTAAAACTTTTCTAGTTCTACTCAACACAGAAGAAACAGAATATTTAAAGAACACATTAAATGCTTTTTGGGGTTTCTTTTTCTTGATGTAATGTAAAACATTAAACAAAGTCCAATTGAATTCAGCGTTGACTACTCAGAGAGACAAACACCCAGCTCCAGAAACTGTCCCCAGGTGCTCCCAATTCTTCGCTTGTCTTAGCGCTTACATAATATTTTTTAACCTAGCTTTTTAATTCATCTACAGAAATTCAATCTAATCAAGCATAAGGAAAGAAAAATATTTAATAGAGTGATTTTTAACTATCAGATTATTTTAGGAAAGAACATTAGCAGTGAAAAAAATGATGAATTTTGTTCTTCGACTCTGGACTCCTTCCTAGAGAACAGGAACTACACGTCACATAAGTACACGCTTTCCGTTGAGTTTGCCTCGAAGATCTGGACTGCCGTTGTACACGGTACTCCAGAAAAGCTCTGGAGTAGGTGACTAGGTGAGCTGAAATGAGAAAGGAGGTTTCCGGAGACGAGTCTCTCCTTGTTGCTGATGGATGCTTACAGAACCAGGCTTAGAGAGAGAAAGAGGATAGGGTTAATTCAGAACCTGTCTTCAGCTACTCAACTTGAGTAGCAGTGTCTTTTAAAGTCAACGGCCCCCAATTGGAACCAGCCAATCCACTGCCGGGAGAGCCCAGGACAGCCAGTGAAGGGGCGTGGCCTGCTGCTGTCACTCAGTAGTGAGGAATGACACTCTGACGGGAGGGGGGTACAGTGGAACCCAGGAGAAGGAAAGAGAAGAAACAGATAAAACCGGGGCAGAGGGTAAAAAGGTTTCCCGTTCTTCTCCAATTTTAGGGGCCTCAGCTGTCAGCGCGGGCGCCAGAAGGGTGGGCTCCGGAAGAGCCTGCCCAGAGGGGAAGAGGGAGGACCCGCCAGGAGCGAAGCCCTGCAGGCGCAGGCAGGGAAGACAGAGGCGCAAAGAAAAGTGACTTGGGCCGTGCGCCGCCGCGGCGCTCGGGAGGCGACTGCAGACGCCGAGAGGACCCTTGACAATTCTCACTGGCCTTTCCCTCGGGGACAGACCCGGGCTGGCCCCCGAAGGCCACGGGAGATGATATAACCTATTCCAGCTGCGGGAAGACAGCGTCTGGCGCTAGATTTGGGGGGGGAGGGGGTCCCGGCGAGGTGGGCCTGTTAGGTGGGGGTGAGGGTCGCCCGGGATCCTGGGACTGAGGGGGGCGGGGGCTGCTGAACTGCGCAGGAGTGGGCTGCAGGGGCCTGGTGCGCCCCTCTCACTCGTGCAGCGGTCTCCCAGCGCTCTCTGTCAGGCTCGAAACTGTCCCCGCGACCCAGCTGCCCGCCCGGCCGCCGGCTCCGATCCGTGGCGCAGATGGCTGTGCGCAGCGCCAACACCTTGACGCCTTTCTCCATCCAGGCGATTCTTAACAAGAAGGAAGAGCGCGGCGGGCTGGCTGCGCCCGAGGGGCGCCCGGCACCCGGGGGCACAGAAGTGGCGGTGGCCGCGGCGCCCGCCGTCTGCTGCTGGCGGCTCTTTGGGGAGACCGACGCGGGTGCACTGGGGGGCGCCGAGGACTCTCGGCTGGCGTCTCCCACCCGAACCAGAACAGCTGTGGGGCAGACCGCGGAAAGCCCGGGAGGCTGGGACTCGGATTCAGCTCTGAGTGAAGAGAACGAGGGCAGAAGGCGCTGCGCGGACGTCCCGGGAGCCAGCGGAGCCGGTTGCACCAGGGTGACCCTGGGCCTGGACCAGCAGATCTGCGAGATGCACACTGCCAAGGATTTGGAGGAGGAAACCCCGGTCCGCAGCGACAGCGAGATGTCAGCCAGCGTCTCAGGTCTGCTGCGGGGCTTTCTCCGGAAATAGGGCTGGGCTGAGGGGATGGGTTAAGAGGTCAAGCACTCCAAGGCGGGGTGGACTTGCTGGGGGAACATCGTGCCCTACAGGACTTAGTCTCTAAATTCTGCACGTTGGCGCGCACTGCGGGGAGTCTTAAGCAACTGAGCTTCTTAGAGTCGGTCCTCCTGGTACCATGTGCCCTGCACCCTGTACCAAGAGCTTTGAGTTCGTCTGCAGTGCCTCCGCTGTATCCACTTAAATTCTCTAAACTTAACAAAGGTGGACTAGAGACCTAAGGTAGACCGTAACTTCCCCCAGGCCCAGCCGTGGACTTCAGGTCCAGTCACAGCGTAAGCTTTGGAAAGAGCCCGTTTAAATTTCCTCACCCCAGGACTGAGAGAGCAGCCTGTGGCTAAGCATCAAGGAGCTAAAAACAAAACAAGCAGTTACCTGAAGGCGGAAGATGGTGGGGAAGTGTAATACAGGTCGTCAGGGAGGCACTCGAGTCCAGCCTGTTTATCCACTAGCGGGTGCATTTCTTGATCTGAAAGCCCCGCAGCTGACTTCTATTGGATACATGCTGCTGTAGGCCTCACACTGGCTCAAGGCCGGCCCATAACTATGACCTCTCGGCTTGTGCGCAGCAGGGAGCCCAAAGGAAGCAGGAGGAGGGGGTTCAGACCAGGGAGAATTCAGAGTCTTCACTACCCACCCACTCCCTGCTTCCTTCTATTTTCTTGCAAAGAAGAGGGAGTCAGGTGGCGTCCAGGCTTTGCTGCTACACCCTGTCGCCATACCCTTGACAGCAATCCTGGGCTTATATTGAAGACTCTATATAACTCTGACCTCAAGGTCTGCACCCTCCCCCCATCTTCCTCTTTCGTGTAGCCAACGGATGTGTATGTGTGGGTGTGCAGAAGTGTACGGCCTGGAACTGGGAAACAGAAATGTAATGTAGAAAGCCAAGATTCAGAAGTGATACTCACAGGCGAAGTATCCTACCTTACTGAAGGGAATCTGGGGCCTGGAGAACTCCGGGGAGAGCTGTTCCCCTACAGCTTTGGCATACACCGAAAGAGATACAGAATTTGAGAAGCGAAGGGCGAGTTCTAAAACAGAACTCTCTGGAACCTCACCTCCCCTTTCAGTAGGCTCAAAGCGGGTTTCCCTTCCCAGTTCTCCCCAGAAACAACTGCCATTGAGACCTATCTTCACCTCTGCGAGTCTGACAGGTTCTTGCTTTTTCTTCCTACCGGAATCCGCAGGCGACCACAGCCCAAGAGCTGAGGACGGTGGTGTTAGTCCCGGAGGTGTACGCATGCCTGGGTTGTGCAGCGCTGCCGGCGGCGGGGCTAGTAGCGGGCAGGCGGGCGGCGTGGAAGAGGAGGAAGAGCCCGCAGCCCCTAAACCTCGAAAGAAGCGCTCTAGGGCAGCCTTTTCGCACGCCCAGGTCTTCGAGTTGGAACGCCGTTTTAACCATCAGCGCTACCTGTCCGGGCCGGAGCGCGCAGACCTGGCAGCTTCCCTTAAGCTCACCGAGACGCAGGTCAAAATCTGGTTTCAAAATCGCCGCTATAAGACCAAACGCAGGCAGATGGCCGCAGACCTGCTCGCCTCGGCGCCCGCCGCCAAGAAAGTGGCGGTAAAGGTGTTAGTGCGTGATGATCAAAGACAGTATCTGCCGGGAGAGGTGTTGAGGCCCCCCTCTCTTCTGCCACTGCAGCCGTCCTACTACTACCCTTACTACTGCCTTCCGGGCTGGGCGCTGTCCACTTGCGCGGCCGCTGCTGGTACCCAGTGAACCGTTTGGGAAGAGGCAGCAAATAAAATGATCCTTGCGCTCCAGTTTGCACCACCGCGGACAGGTGTAGAGATTGGACTCGGTGCTGCAGGAGAGCTCTTCCGGGGGGGGTGGGCGGACCTCAGGCGGAGAACGAAATCCTGCTGGAGCTTCCCTACCCAGGGTGACCTGGCAGTGAAATTGAGACTGCCCAGAGACGGGGCTTTATTCTGATTTGAACCGATGCGCCCTATGACCCCTGGCCCTCTGTGCACCTATCTGCAAGCCTCGGGACGCTATTTATTATCTCAGCAACGTTGGATTTGGATTGTGTCTGCCTGGGGCTGGTGTTTGCCCAGAGCAGAGAGGACTCCTGGAGACCCCATAGCCCGAATCCTTAGAATCTCGGGGGGCCAAGCGCTCTGTGCGCTAGGCCACACTAGTTCATGGTATCCATGCTACCGATCTGTATCTACATATCTTTAATTTTTGAAAATTACATTTGTGACAAAGAAGTGCAAAATTCTGACAGTTCCAGGCCAGGAGTTGATCTGAACCTCGAAGGGTTTGATTTTGGAGACCTTTACTCCACCCCTCATGGGGCACCCTCCTGGATCCCGAATGTAAGAAAGGGAGCCTTTCAGCGTGGGGGGCCAGCCAGGGGATCCCCTAAACTTTCCCCTTCTATAAGTTCAGGGCCACACCCAAAGGGAGAGTGCCTGGGCCGGTCATAGAGAGGCCCGTCGCTGGGAAAGTACCCTTTCAGAAGGCTGTCTTTATTTCTTTCTATTTTTTCAAAGAAGGTTGAGACTTGTAGCACTTTCCGGTTGTTTGTATTCAAATAACGATTATTTTTGTATTCAATGTGAATATCCCTGGCCTGCATTTCCGCGGCTTTCTCCACCTTCTCCTGTACCTCTATTTCAACCCCCACACACCCTCTGTGCCTTGCTTGTTTCAGAGACTCTCTGTCTTATCAGCCTCGCAGCTTTTCGCCTCTTTAAGGGCACTGTGCACTCAACTAGAGTTATCTTTAAAAGATTTGTGAATTTTGGAAGCTCTATTCGCTGTATTTTTTTCTTTAATTTATAAACGTTTAGTTCAACATGCCCGCCCCGGGTTTTGTTTTCTCTGAAATTCTCTTGGTGCGTCTTTGGGACAAGGCGTTGGAGGCGGGTGGGCAACCCGGGTTTAGTTTTCTCTGAAATTCACTTGGTGCGACTTTGGGACAAGGAGTTGGAAGTGGGTGGGCGGCAACGGTGGAGCATTCTACCCCTCACTTTTCTGTCTAGGAGCGAACACTCAGGTGCCTAATCTACAGTCCTCAACAGCCTTGCTTAAACCTCCAAGAATCGCAACTTCAGGTGTGTGGAAGGGTCCCACTGAATCTTTAAGCTAATATCCTTATGTTCCTCAGTCCTGGGGCCTCAAGTCTTGGAGGTACCTGGACTGATTGAACCCACAGTCAATTTACATCTAAAACCCAAACCTGAAGATTCTTCTCCATCGCCTCTTTCCTCCTCTCCGCTTTCGATTTTGTCTGTGTTTCTAAATGACTCAGCCTTTTTAAGAAAGGGCTGGGAAAAGAAAGAAAAAAGAAAACAAAAAACAGAACAAAACACCTCTCGCTGAAATTCTAAATCAATTTGGGGAGAGTTAAGTGTCAATAATGTTCCTTGGGGGAATGTCTCCTGCTCATTTTACTCCTACAGGTGCGAATTTTAGCCTATCTAAAATGTTTTCAGGCGGTTCTGCTCCCTGGTGACTTGGCGTCATTTGATCTGCACGGGGCAGTGAAAGGTGAGGCTGGCCACGTGTAGGAGTGCAGACAAACATGCTCCCACCAAGCAAGACTCCTCAGAATACCATAGATTCTTTCCAAGCTAAACGGTCACCCTCGGCCTCTTTGAGCATCTTGCCATGGTGCCACGTCCCACGTCCTGGCCTGGAACTTCCAAAACCGAAGCCTGAGCTTGTTTCAACTCACCTGTAGTAGAAAGGCTGGTTTTGCCCTACTGCCTTTCTCTGGAAACCTTTCTCAGCCTTCTGGCCTCCAGGCTTTAGGGTACTAAAGGCCCAGGCAAGGAAAGCTGTGATCGCCTGGGTCGGCCTAGTCCAGCTTCCTTAAACAGCGAAAGCGCGCTAGGACAAAGCTAGGCTATGCTCATCTTAATGCTCTCCTTACCCCAGTTTCCAGGCATTTGGCTCCAGGGATCATTTTATTTCTATTTGAAACACACACACACACACACACACACACACACACACACACACACATTTTAAAATTCAGCATTAATTTTAAAATTTGTCATGATGTATTCTCCTTGAAGTTTGGAGCTCTCGTTGTTGCTGGCAAGTTCTCACTTCCTTTGCCCAAAGATTGTTACAATTCAGAGTGTTCTTGAAGGGGAGTGGGTGTCCTTCTGGAATGACTGTTGTTTGCCCTGTTTATTGAGGCAGTTTTTGTTCAATTCCTGCGGATTTGGGGACAGCGCTAGAGAGTGATGGGAAAAGAAAAGATATCCAAGGTCACAGTCTCACAGCTTCCTTTCCCCTGCAAATCCCATTTTTTTTCGCGGGTGGGTGGTGTCCCTTTTTGCCCCTTTTTGCCTCTCTCATTGCTGGTCTTAGCCTGGGAGAGCTGCTTTCAGCTTTCTGAAGCCGTCCCTGGGAAAGTTACCCAAGTGAGTTTGGTTTAATCAGTATCGTGGCAGCTGCTGGCTTACATGGTAAGAGTACTGGCATTGCAACCTACCCTTTGGGTCCAGCTCAGCCTACCAGGATTTCACACCGCAAATATGACCCTGGACACTCCTGTTGGAAATACACAATATCGCGGTAATCACTCATTTGCTCCCCTGCCCACAATCTACCCTTTCCTTCTTTTCTTTTTTTCTTTTCATTTATTTCTTTTTGTAAAATTAAAAACATGCTCTACTAACACACACACACACACACACACACACACACACACACACACACACACAC